TATGATGCTAATTTTATAGAACGTAAGTAGTTCGGGGCATAAATTCCAGCTATTATGCTACTATGAAATTTCATAGTATGTGAGAAAACTGAGTCCGATCTGCACCAATGATACTCTTAACTTCAAGTACTTAACGGTTAAAGTAACATCATGAGAAAACCTCTAGTCTCAGAAATTAAGTAAACCTACTTTGAATTTTTGAAATTCGCACACGACACGCATTGGTGCAACACGACTAACTTTTCTCTGTTACAAAACACTCAACTCGGTAATCAGAGACAATCTCAACTTTAGTTCCAAACTTCACTTATCAAAACCTGTGTCTAGTCTATTCCATATTATGTTTCAGTTTAAATTCGACATTTTCTCAGAATAATTGTCTGGGATGTGAAAAGGCCTGTTCGCAGCTATACGAAGCTTGTAGGTTGTGTTTTCCATCATACATAAATATATTTCATAGAAAATATATCTATATGCAATAGTCCGCAACAATACTTACTTTAAATTCTCGTGCTCACGATGATTACTGTCGGATGTGAAGCATTTTTTTTTATTTAACTCGAACGTTATCCATGTAGATAAGGCAGCGTAGAAGAGAGCTAATTTTGGCAGTCCTGATTGCGAAGTGACCATAACGCGGGACCTAATAAAGCGCACAATAGCGAGCTGGACAGATAAATGTTGCTAATGAACGCCGTACAGTCGTGAACGAAAACTTGCCGTGCCTTCCAGTGGACGTAATGGGATGATAGATTCTCAATCATCATCACCAAATATCTTATAACGTTATTTCGTAAAAACCATTTAAAAAATAATGATGCCCACCTGATTAATTTCGACCACGGCACACTTCTGAAATTGACACGTCACTAAAGCTGAAAACTTCGGAGGTTGCAAAGGAAATTTTCGAGGCTTATGACCTATAAAATATACAAAATAGCGAAAAAATAATAACATATAGTATGTTTTTAATTAATATCATATTTTGGCTCTTAGCTAATTCAACTCAGTCGGTACTGAATATGGAACGATCACCCCATTTCCAACAATAATTATCAATCATGTATTTTTTAATAGTAATATTCCAAAAATAATTAGCAATCACGTATGCTTCAATATTATAGTTAATGACACGAAGAAATAGTATGGTAATTAAAACTGTACTTGGGTGAAATAAAAATAAATTAAAAACATGTTTGCAGTTTACACGCGGTAGAAATGAAACTTCGAGAGAGTGAGAGTATCAGGAGTAGGGTTATTATAAGCTTTATTTATTAAAATATTGTTAGAAATTACTTTACATTTTAGTCTACATAATATATAATACGCACTTCAAGGTTTTTTTTCTTTTAAAAGCCATTCCCCTCACACTAGGATTTTCTCCTGTATCGTGGAGGCAGTCTACAAATATAAATTGCACAAGTACAAACATCCACACCTGGAACAATTATATATTGTTCCGTGCGGGATTCGAACCCGCGGCCCAGCACAGCCACTCATTAAGTAAGACACTGCGCCACGGAGCCGTCAATTTTATTTTTCATTTACACGATTGGATTATGGATGCCCTTTGCTGACTCTTCTAAAAAAAATTTAATATACGATATAATTTTAATTTTATAGCAAATTAATGTTGTAATTCTTATTTTTAAACTAAATTTTAGTCTAATAAATCAAAATAATACTATCTTTCGAGTTAAATTGATTTGCTATAGCGCCGCCATCTACTTCATTTTAAAGGTGAAGTCATTTTATCAAACAAAAACTGATGAACGTTGTACGTATGTACAATTCAATATGGTTCCATCCAACCATCTATTACAGCGTTTATAGATTGCTTCATCGGGAGGATTTTGCCATAGTTGCCACGCTTGGCAAGTGGGTTGGCAACCGGAGTTTTTGCTTTTAGTCGTTATTAGGAAGACGCTGCTCGCATATTCTGATCTGTCGCCTCTTACGACACCCACGGTATTGGATATACTTACATGGATATGGGGTATTGGATATACTTACACCGCCAATTCGCGGTACATATATAAAATAGATTTCGACTTATTTAGCGCCTGTGCCCGCGAGTGTACCCTCTCAGTGTGAATAAGCGTAATAACACAGCACTGCTTTCGCCTGGCGTGTCGCAATCCGACGGACAAGTATGGACATCTATACTCTTATATTTGGACCTGCTTTAAGCAAGCCGGTGCGAAAATTTCCACTGTAGTTATTCTGTTTCAATTGGGAGCTTTATGTTAAATGGGGACACGCCGCTTTATTCAACCCGATGCTAGGCAGTTAAAAAAATAGAATTAGGGTGACAAACGAACACAAAGACCACCTGATGGTAAGTGGATGCTGTGGCCCATAGACTTCTACATATTTATTGTCGATTAAAAATCAAAATGCGTTGTTACCTCTGAAGATGAACATGGTATATCTCGTTTCCAGTAAAAATTATCGACGGTTCTCTACACTCACCATAAAAACACAGCAGCAAAAAGCTACTATTTTACGCTGGTATTCTGTGACCTATTTGTGCTACAACCATAATATACCTGCAGCGTGGGTCTACCACGAATAAATTTCAGTTATCTTCGTTTTAAGAAATGTTAAAGTTTAAATGTTATGGTAAACTTAGAATAATAATAATAACTTGATGAACCTCAGTGACAGTATGCCTTAGGTTAATTTTTTTTAATAATATCAAAGTTAGAAAAGAGCTAACAGTCCACCTGATGGTAAGTGGTTACTGCGGTCCATGGGCACCTACAACTGACTTCTAACAAAGATTGCTACAGATGGGCTATGATACCAAACGACGAAAATACAATGCCTTACAGTTATTACCCCGTTTACCTTTGCTTTCTCAGCGCGAGGAAATATTACGGATAGGGGAGAGGGAGAATGCTTATGCAAACAAAAGCGTTTTTCCACACAATTATTTTCTGTTTTAATAGATCAAGGTTGACAAACGAGCACACAGCCCACCTGATGGTAAGTGGTTGCTGTGGCCCATAGACATCTACATCTATCCTCGATTACGAATCAAAATGCAGATGTGTCGTCACCCGTGAGGACCGTTTCCAGTAAAAAGGTCTCTGGTTCGCTACACTCACCATACGAAACAGCAGCATTAAGCTACTATTTTACGCTGGTATTCTGTGAGAACCTGATCGTTCCCAGGTAGAGCCAACCCATTAGTGCTACAACTATACTACTAATATAACTGCAGCATGACTCTACTACGTATGCATGGCTCAACTACGTATAAAGTAACGAGTTTCAAAGCACAAGGATTTTAAAATTTTGTAATTCAAAGAAATTTGACCACCTATATATATTAGTATAAGTTACATGAACGCAGAGTTTAATAAAGGATTGCTCACATTGTGTAATTAATTATTGCGCATTCTCCTATAGTATTTGTTATTAGTTTTCGCTAAACAATACGTGGTATTTTTGGTTAAACAGTCTATATTAGGAATCACTTAGTTCTGATTGTACATTATTCCGCAAATTTTAACCAACAAGGATAATTTCAAACCAAATCGACTGCTCGAGCGATGTATGAATAATGCGTGCAAGTTATGAAATCTCGTTCCAGGAATCAAATTCTAAAATAAGACTCATTGTTCACTGTTTTTGGAGGCGCTCACGAAACGCGGCATTCGCTAAAAGCATTACAGTGTCTCTGAAAAATTTACAACGCTGCGTGACGATAGACTTAAATTTCAATATCATGTAATAAAAATATCACTCGGTGTCAGTTAGGCTGCTGCTACATTATCATATCTATATAATTTTTTATAGAATACCAGAATAACAGTGTAAAATAGCAGCTTAATGCTGCTGTGTTTAGTATGGTGAGTGTAGAAAACCTGCGACCCTTCTTATTGGAAATGAAGCATTTCATATAGTTCGGATGACAGCGCATGTTGATTCTTAATCGAGGATAAATTTAGATGTCTATGGGACACAGCATCCACTTACCATCAGGTGGACTGATGAATATATATATATATATATATATATATATATATATATATATATATATATATATATATATCTTCTTAATATATATAAACTAGCTAGCCAGGCAGACATTGTTGTGCCCTTTTCGACGACCCTTTGTCATGTCCTATTAAAAATCCTTAAATTCGCAAAAAAAATTGTGGGTTACTCATGGGAAAAAACTATCCTATCTCTCAAGTTGGACCAAACTGCACACGGTGTGCAAATTTGATTTTAAAATCGGTTTAGTAGTTTAGGAGTCCATCGCGGACAAACACCGTCACACGTAATTTATATATATTAAGATTACGTGTCACGTTGTTTGTCCGCGAGGGACTCCTAAACCACTTAACCGTGTAGTGGTGTAGTGAGACGAAGTGTTGCAGAAACTGGCTATATCAACACATTCTTAACAAATGTTCGTAAACCACGTGTAGATAGTGATGCGTAGACAACGAGGTTCGCCGCTTCATCACAGCATCCACCAATACAAGGTCCACAACACATTTTTGTCTCAATACAAAGTTCTTATTGAACAGAAATCATATAATACCATTATAACCCATCAGCCTATTAAAAGTCTATTGCTAAACATAAGCCACCCCATAGTAGTTGCCTGATATTGTATTGCATTTAAAACGTGACCAACGGCAGTTAAAGTGTTAAGCTTTACCACTAGTGACACTAAAGAAACAGCCAGAAACGCCGCGGGACTCTAATTTCTAAAAAAAAAGTCTAACTTACAATATAATATAATATAAATAAGTCGCATTTGTAATTCTACTGGTGAGGAAGGTGTTCATGGGCGCCGGAAGTCACTTACCATCATTAGACCCGTATACCAACCATCATTTGACCTCGTTTGCCTCTTTTCATATAAATTTTTTTTTATACAATTAAGTATGAAAATATTTAGAAACATCTAAACATCACAGTAGTGATCACCTATACTATGATGTTCATGTTATCTGACTTGGTCCTTTTTTCGTTTCCAGTACGGCAGCGATGAGTTCGGGCACGACTCACCCAGCCGGTACGCGTCGCCGAAAGGCGCGGGCGCTGGGGCGTCGTACCAGGAGCCGTACTACGCGGGCGGCGAGTGGGGCGCTGGCTACTACCAGCCTCCTCCCCCCTACCAGCACGACCCCTATGCCACCTCGCCAGGTATGTGATTCTTATACATATAAGTTTTTTTTTAATATAGAATAACAGTGATAAATGAGCACACAGTCCATTTGATGATAAGAGGATGCTATGGTTCATAGACATCTATCTACGTTTAAGCTCGATTTTTGAAATGAAAACTTCTTTTTAGCGGCGTTGTACACTTTTTTGTAATGGGTAAAAAATGTTAAACTCGCGTCAGGACACGTGACCTGATCGAAAATTCGTAAGACGAAAACTTCTTTAGCGGCGTTGTACACTTATTTTGTAATGGGTAAAAAATCTTGAACTCGCGTCAGGATACGTGACCTGATTGAAAATTCGTAAGACGGGTGGAGAGTAGACAGCCGGCGCTGCGTAGGAGAGGAAGTATCCCCCTCTCTTTCTACGGCGCGGCGAAAATGTATGCTTGCGCCTGCTGTTTAGGCATTTTAATGTAATATAAATTGTCATGTTTGTGTACGATAGCGTAATAAATAAATATTTTATTCCTGGATATAAATATTTCACTCCTGGAGTGCAACTCGTCGTTTTTTTTATAGAATAAGGGTGACAAACGAGCACACAGTTCGCCTGATGGTAAGTGGATGCTTTGGCCCATAGAAATCTACATTTAACCTCGATTAAGAATCAAGATGTAGATGCGTTGCCACTGAGGACTAAGATGGAATGCCTCGTTCCAGTAAAAAGTGTCTCCGGTTCTCTACACCCATATACGAAACACAGCAGCATTAAGCTGCTAATTTACGCTAGTATTCTGTGAGAGTGTGGTCCTTCCTAACTTCCTATACAAGCTATAGCATGACTCTACCACGTATAAAATTGCCATATTGTTTTGGATACGGTTTGTAACTTCTCTTATCTTCAGATAGACTGCGAACTTTTCCTCAAAAATGGGATTTAGGTACAAGCTTGGTTCGTTTGCGTGGTTTATGTGTTAGAGCCAAGCTGCAGCTATATTATGGCTGTAGCACAAAATGAACAGCTCGACCGGGATAAAACCACGCTCACCATTTTTTTTACATTGCAGGCATAGCGGGCACAGGTGGTGGCGAGGCGGGGGGGGCGGGGCCGGCGGGGGGCGCGGAGCTGCCCCTGCCGCCCATGTCCTCGTTCCGAGCCGCCGCGCCCGTGCATTCGCCCACAGACACTATGCTGCTGACCAAGCCGCCGCTACAACCGGTGAGTAACAGCATCTAACGAGTCACATTCAGTGGAGTTTTTTGAACTGCAAACTCCTTTATAACCTTTGTGATTTGTAAGTCGTTGAAACAAAAAAACGACAAACATATACATATAGGATTTAGTAAGCGAGAGAAACGATTCGACAAAAAACGAGATTGACTTTATTGTGACGACTAGACGCCAACTGTTCAGTGAAGTCTCAGTGATCGCAAGGGTGAAAACTGGCAGCGATCACCGAATGGTAAAAGGCACGCTGAACCTAAACGTTAAGTTGGAGAGGTCTCGTCTAATGAAGTCAACGCTCCGCCCCCTCGTGCTCTAATCCAGAATCCCTAAATCTTTCAGCTCGAGTTACGTAACCGCTTTCAGTGCCTAGAAGATTGCAATGCAGTGGACGATATGAATGACAAGCTCGTGGAAACTGTCCATGCGGTCGGAGCTAAGTTCTGCAAGATCCGCCGCAGAAGAACACAAAAACTCTCCGATCACACTCTTAATCTCATGTCTGTTAGACGGAGATGAGGCTGCTATCGTCAACAGATTTGACAGCATACAGGAAACTGAACAGACAGATCTCCAAATGCATGCGGCAAGACTTACACAACTTTAATACTGCTCGTATTAAAGAAGCGATCGAGTGGAACCAGGGCTCTTTGCCAGAGATCTGTCTGCCAGAAAGAGCCACCTGTCAGTGCTGAAGACTGAGTGTGGCAGCATCGTTTCCGGGACACCTGAGATTTTGAGTGAGATTGAGAGGTTCTATGGGCAGATGTACGTGAGCCACACGCAAGTGTGAGTAACGATCCAAGAGCAAGTCTTATCCGACACTATTTCGATGATATCCCGGACGTCAGTCTGAGCGAGATTAGAATGGTTCTCCAGCACCTTAAAAACGGCAGAGCCCCAGGCGGGGATGGAATTACAGCTCCGCTGTAAACGGGTTCTGAAAACGGGTGGAACACCGGTATTTGAAATCCTTCAGAAGGTCTTCAATTCCGTCCTCCATGGTGGCACTACTCCGGAGGCGTGAAGCAGAAGTGCGGTGGTCTTGTTCTTTAAGAAAGGCGACAACGCTCTCTTGAAGAACTACAGACCGATTTCCCTTCTGAGCCGCGTCTACGTGCTGTTTTCGAGAGTCATTACGAATCGTCTCGCACGCAGACTCGACGACTTCCAGTCTCCCGAACAAGACGGTTTCCGAAAAGGCTTCAGTACCGTAGACCACATACATACCCTGCGGCAGATTGTACAGAAGACTGAAGAGTACAATCTGCCACTTTGCCTAGCGTATGTGGACTATGAGTAAGCCTTTGATTCTGTCGAAATTTGGGCGGTGCTACAGTCCCTTCAGCGTTGAAGTGTTTGAGAGTAGAGCTGCGATGGCTATCCGAATACAGAATCAGTGCACAAAACCTATCCAACGGCGGAGAGGTGTAAGTCACGGTGATGTTATATTCCCGAAACTCTTCACCGCTGCACTGGAAGACTTTTTCAAGCTACTGGACTGGAAAAGATATGCTATTAACATGAATGGCGAATACATTACTCACCATCGGTTTGCCGACGATATGACCCTTATGGCAGATTCGCTGGAGGAACTCGATACTATTGTCTATCGGCTTCTATTGTAATCGGCACTAGTCTCCCAACGGATATGTCTTAAAATGAACATGAACAAAACTTACATCATCTGTAACAATCATGTCACACCTATACCAGTAGTTGTTGGAAGCACTACACTCGAAGTTGTTGACGAGTATATTTACCTAGGACAAATAGTCTGACTAGGTTAGTCAAACTTCGGTCAATCTACGGATTCAACTTGGCTGGGCAGCATTTCTGGAGACTATTACGACACATATCGTTAGGTATATACCTCAAAACTTAAGATTATATTTTCATTATACAAGTAATATAATGGCTTATTAATCCGGTTCGACCCGCTCTTCGTGCAGATGTACGGCGGTGCGGCCACGAGCGGAGCGGGAGCGGGAGCTGGAGCGGAGGCGGGCAGCCTGTCGTCGTACGGCTCGTCGCCCTCCACGCCGGTGCACTCGCCGCCGCCGCTGCACGCACGCCTCTACCCGCTCAAACACTCACCCCACCATCCCCACCACATGCACCACCATAATGGACAGGTAACACACAGTACCTCCAAATACTAAATTAAAGTAAGTTAGATAAACAGACATACAGTCCACCTGACGGTAAAGGAATCTTGTGGTCCACAGACACCCACATTTATGCTCGATTAACAATCGAAATATAGGTGCATTCCCTCCTGTATCAATACCTGTACAAATACCTGTTATCAATTAAAGGAATATCCAATTCTCGTCATTCACCATACGAAACCAAGCAGAATTATGTTGCTAGTTATTTACCCTAGTGTTGTATGCGAATGTCCCGGTTGTGCCAATCCATACACTGCTGCAACGATATTAAAACTCCTATGCTGAGCATTGAATTATAGTAGAAATATTTGACATATTTGCCAGGTTCGGCTGGCAGCCGCACTTGAAGTTAGCGTCATGCGAATTGAACTGTCAGTTAGATAGTACTATTCTACCTTACGTGTATAGTTCATCCGTTACTGTTACAGCCTATTAAAGTCCACTGCTGAACATAGACTCCCAACAGATTGTCTAATAGGGGAATATTTGTTATAGTTGCCAAGCTTGGCAAGCGGGTTGGCAACCGCAGTTTTTTATTTTTAGTCGTTATTACGAAGACGCTGCTGCACATCTCCTGATTTGATTCCTTCTGTCGCCTCTTGTAACACGGGATGATGTGGGGCAGTAGATATTCTTACACCGCCACTATACGGTAGCTCATACTTGGGCCCTTTTATCCAACTATATTGGTATAAAATCAGTACTTTATGGTTGTCGCGATTCGACACTCACATCTATAACTTGCATTAGCAGCAAGCCGCGGGGTGGGCGGGTGTGTCCTCGCCGCCTGGTGCAGGCGTGGGATCCGTAGGCTCCGTGGGCTCGGTGAGCGCCGTGGGCAGCGTGGCCAGCGTTGGGCCCGTGGGGTCCGTCGGACCCGTGGGCGCCGTCGGAACAGTAGCCAACGTCCTACCCAATGGGCACCAGCATCACGTCGCCGTCTTCCCGCACAATGTAATGGTGCGTATTCCATACTTCCCTGCCAAACACCCAACCTATAACTGTACTATTTAAAACTGAATTAAAAAAGCTGTGTCAAATCTAAAACCTAGAATATTATCAGCTTATTCGAATTTAATTCATGAAAGTACAAGGTGAATAAAACTGATATTTTTAAGTTTATGTAATACTGAAATTGGTTTTTTGTTATGAATTTTATATTTCAAAACAACAATTTTTCCGTATTGTCGTTTCGGTTAATTTGGCATGATTTCATGCATGGGTGTAACTAACTAAATTACGTAATATTAGGAATATTTTTATACAAGAAATTCCGCATTTCAATAGCCAGTTTTTAACACACAGCATAATTATTATAGTGAGTTATGATTGCTAAACATATGAAATTTGTGTGTATATCTCTATTTTGTAATGTGGAGTTACTTAATTTTTTGTACATACTTATGTTTGTATTTATCCCAGTAAAATATGTCATCACGGCAACTTGTGTAATTAGTAATCAAGCTTGATAGAAATAAAAGATATTGCGAGAAAAGTAAGTTGGAATGAAAATTATTAATATAGTAATACTGAATACACAAGTCGTATGGTTGGCAATATTGCAGCTTTATTTTTATTTTGATGTGTTTTTCAAAAATATGGAGCCAATTTTTTTGCAATACAAGAGTGCATTTATGTATATAATTCAAACATTATCAGTTTTCTTAAATTTATTGATCACTCCTTTATCATTGTAAAAATAAATTTGCTCCGTATTTTTTGTATCTTTTTTATTTTTGTGTTTTGTTGTTGTTTGTGGTGTTTTTGATTCAATGTCAGCGACTTGCGTAGAACCCAGATTTGTACCGTAGAAAGTTTTAGATTATTTTAAACTAGGTAGATTAGATTAATATTCGTATTTATTTTAGATTAGATATCATTGTAGATTATTTTAAAATTATTTTTAATATAGAAAACAAAATGTTCTACTTAAAAAACATAAAACACAAATCGGCAAAAAATCATCGTTATTTACTAAATGAAGTAATAAAAAAATATTATATTAAAGGAATTCAATCAAAATTTTGGGAATAACATCCAACTTAATTCTATGAAAGCTGTGCAACAGCGACTACTTTTCTAATTGTTAGAAACTACAGGTGACAAAAATTCACTAAACTTTAATTTACCTAAAGTCAATTCTCTGCTAACTCGCTATTCATTATATATATAATGTCAAAAAGACGTTAATCGTGATATGCAGTCGCACGAGTGCCGTTAGATTAGTGTGTACGGGGCATTATATAGGTTTGCTTTTAGAAAAGTTTAGAACCAAACGTTGAGTTTCAAAATTAAGCTTTTACGGTTAAAATCTAATAAAGTCAAAGTTCGACAGTTTGCTTTGTAATATAATTTATACCAAACTTAATGCGATACATCACCCCCCCCCCCCTTCAAGTTATAAAAAGTCTTTACTCGCAATTGCGCTGTAGAATCGCACGAGTACCTACCGGTACTACAGTTAGGGTGTACGGGTCAGGGTTCTAGAGTCGCTGACGATGCGTGTGGGCAGGGCGCGCCGGCCGAGCAGCGCCAACTCGACGAGGCCATGGTGTTCCTGCGGGACCACTCCGACATCGTTGTGAGTATCCGCCGCCCGCCCTTTGCGGATACGGATATTTCATATGCTCATTCAACTACAAAACCATGCGTTACATGTTATGAAGTCGTTGTTTCCCCTTATTTTTTGAAGTGAAAAGTTCTTTAGAATCGTTGTTGTTTGTTTGAATTCGATGAAACAAAAAAAGCAATACTAAAAAGAGAGAAACATATACATCTATAGGATTTAGTCAGCGAGAGAATGAGATATAATACAGTATACTGTGTTTCCTATTATCTCGGTTTCCTTTTTTGAAGGTTTCATTTTTACCGCGTGTGATGCACAGAAATTGTAATAATAAGACAATAGAAATGAATTAGTGCTCGATTACTTCCAAAACCGATGTCGCCACATCTTACCGTATTATAAACGTACGCAATGCACAATGATATCTGTTTCACATTACATTGCTTGGCGAGTTTGTCAACGTCGCGTGTGTCGCGTATTACGGCAGAAAAAAAGCAGCAATGGTAATTGTACAATACGAAAAGTAATAAATGAGTTTGCAAAGGTAAATATCATAGTAAAGTATTCATATATATGTAAATTTGTTGATAATTAGTAAATAATACCGATGAAATGTTATGCTTTTATTAGTTGATTACACGTCCTTGATGAGTTTTTACAACTGATTATGCTGCAGTTCATTGTTATAAATTTATAATAACATAAATTCACGTACGACGTTACCCGCGCAAATAAATCACAAAATGGTGAATGATGTTCGTCAACACATCATAGGTAGACAAAGTCACACAGGTTGGGGTAATGTTTAAAAAAAAACTTAAGTGTACATTCAATGAACAGTGTTGCACAATGCGAAATCTTTTTCTACTCAAATATAATTATGCTAGAATTTTTCGAGGTTTTGTCAGTATGAAACGTATGAAATATCCGTTTTTGTTAACTCTTTAAGTAAGAAAGATGCGAAATCTTTTTCTACTCAAATATAATTATGCTAGAATTTTTCGAGGTTTTGTCAGTATGAAACGTATGAAATATCCGTTTTTGTTAACTCTTTAAGTAAGAAAGTCGTTTGGTTACTGTTTATTTTTAAATATTTTAGCTATTTATTTTTATTGTTATAAAGTTTGTTGTTCTTTTTTGATAAACAGTAAACAAGTGAATATTTGAGGTATGTATAAGTTTAATTGCATGAGATATTTTACAAAGATCGAAAGTTATTTCGTGTCTACAGTATTATTTTGGTTTATTATAGACAATCTGTAGATATTGTGGCATGGATTTTGAGCTTGATTACTTTTGTTTTATGCTACTAATATTTCCTGAACATTTTTAGTATTATAGAATTGTAAAAAAAATCGGTATATTTCTTTCAAATTTTACGTTGACCTATTTCCGACATGTTCTATTGGCATTCAGAATGAAATATTAATTTGTTATCATATATGATTTTTAGAACATTGTTGATATACAAAAAGAATTAAACCGAACCTAGTAGGTACCCTTGGGGTAACCTAATTTATGAGCTCACATAAGTGACAATTTTTGTCTATAGCTTTAAATAATTTACTGTTGAATTGTAGTTATACGAAAAATTTAAGATAAATTAAACCTAGATTAAGAAAAATATTTTTCATTATTAGGAGTTATTTAAAGAGCATAATCGAAATACAGGGCGCGAGAATGGAAGAGAGACTGGATGATGCCATCAATGTGCTTCGTAACCATGCCGAGGCGCCCGAATTATATCCCCACGATGTACACCATCAACCGCCTACAGGTAATAATAATACTACTAGCTTATTAAAATGCCACATTTTGTTACAGGTTACCTTAAAATTAGGACTTGAATATTGTTCTTTACCGAGTTATGGATTCTTAAAATGAGTTATGATGAAATGTTGATCGCGAAACCAGTCGCTTTGAATTTAAGACAAGTGAAACTTATTAACTTTTAAATGATGTAGTGTCGATACGACATTGCTTTTATAGGTTGGGTAAATATACAGGGTTATTTTTCAGTAACCGGCCAAATTTGCAGAGAAGGTTAAGAATAAGTAAAAGATCTCTAACATTCTGTCCTTTTCATCTTTTAAATTTAAAATGCGTGGTATTGCATTATTTTAACTGGTTTTACTGCGCGCGAACACAATCATAAGGGTTGGTCGGTAGGCAAAAAAGAAAGAATAGAATAGACTCACTACTCTTCCCTATTGCGTTTCGTCAAACTTCATGTATTTCTATGTCGGGATTTTTAAAATACTGTTTTCACCATTGGGCTCATTTATGATATTAAGTTGTAAAAATGGGATGCGTATACTACATATCAGAATCACGTCACGTCAGCATTGTGCCACCAGTTATAATGTTAATATATTTTGGATATACATTATGTATGAAATATAAAAAAAAAAACTATAAGAAATACAAAACGATGAAAAGCGCACAAGGTGCACGTTTTGGTTTGACGTTGATAAAGGGGCTGACAGTTCACCTGATAGTGGTTACTGTAGCCCATGGATCAAATTCGAAGACGGCTACAGTTATGCTGTCACCTTTATGGACTGAGATGGAATCCTCGACAGTCTATTAATACTGGCTATATATACCCTTCAGACTGTAACACAGCCGTGGATGCTTTTCTGCTTGGCGGTAAAAATCGTTAAGAGCGTGTTACGCAGACGGTCTGGTACTGGCTTCGCCAATCTGCATGCCAAATCTTTTTACTAAGCCCCTTTTTCCTGGTAATTTAGAGCCATGCTGCAGGTATAGTTGTAGCACGAATGGGTCGGCTCGACCGGGGGAAGGCCACGCTCACACAGAATACCAGCGTAAAATAGCAGCCTAATGCTGTTGTGTTTCGTATGGTGGGTGTAGAGAACAAGAGGCCCTTTTTACTGGAAATGAGGTATTCCATTTTAGTCTTCACGACAGAGGAACTACACTTTCGTAACTTTTTTTCGTACTTTCGTTCGTAATCGAGGATAGATGTAGATTTCTATGGGCCGCAGCAACCACTTATCATTAGGTGCTCGTTTGTGACCCTTATCTTATAAAAAAATATATGTGATATTTATTCTATCGTAGTCCTCAGGGATGACAACGCATCTAAGTTTTGATTCTTAATCGAGGATAGAATGTAGATATCAGTAGCAGGAATTTTTCTGCTGCCCCCCTCCCCAAGTGAGTATTTCGTTCGAAAATGCTGAATTCGAATTAGTTCTTAGTGATGCTGCGTTCATCCTACTTAGGTTAGATTCTTTTTTTGGATGCCATACTGGTTCCATGGACACGCTGGGAAAGGCCTCCATCCAGCAATGGCACAAATAGGCTGATAAATAAGGAAGTGACTAAATCCACTGATTATTTGTTGCAGCAGGTCGATTAGGTCCATTGGGACACGCGCCTCCCGAACCTCCCGTCAAGTTGGAACGCCACCTGCTTCCAAATACAAGTGAGTTACTTTGATTTACTTCACCTTTTAACTCTTTACTTTTTCATTTTTTCAAATCGATCCTAATTTAAAAAAAAAACACCTGAAAATTACATTATTGTGACAATATATCATTGTTCCCTACCCAGCGTGACAAGACGAAACTTTTTTTATAGAAAAATGGTGACAAACGAGCACATAACCCACTTGATGCATGCGGTAAGTGGATGTTAACGCCCATGGACACCTACATTTATTCTCGTTTAAGAATCAAAATGCAGATGCGTTTTCACCACTGAGGACTAGAATTGAATGCTTTGTTTCCAGTTAAGTGCGTCCGGTTCTCTACACTCACCATACGAAACACCAGCATTGAGCTGGTATTTCACGCTGATATTCTGAGAGCGTGGTATTTCACCGGCCGAGCCGACTCATTCGTGGTAGGATAGTAATATAACTGCAGCATGGCTCTACCACGTATCTACTTTTGTCAATATGTGTATCGAAATGTCGATAAATAATAAATAGTGACTAGTAACGCCATCTTCGTTATGTAAAATATTCATAGAATAAATTCCGGTCTGATGCGAACATTTCACGTGTTTTATTAACTTTCCTATAACGGAAGAGGCCCATGCTCAGCTCAATACTTTTAAGGATGATGATGTAGACAAAGACACGTTCGTAGAAAAGTCCTATGTCACTCTTCCCAGTCGCTGTACTTAAACATCGTGCTATAGTTCTAGCGCAATGTGTCGGCAGCTCTAAGTTTTCCCAAAGTGGGGTGTTTCCAAAACTTCTCTTTGCCACAAAGACTTTTGTGTATACTACTAAACGGTCTCTGCGACTTTAATACATTGCCAACTACGTTATGGTCAATTCTTCGTAACTTTTTTAGTCGACTGCGAGCGGGCGAGAACGACTAGTTCATTGTTTTATAAGCCATTTTCTTATTATATATTATTGTGACGAAGAAAATGCTGTTATAATTTATGTACGCACTTTGCCAACGTGATTTAAATTTTATTTCAGATACTTATCCGAAATAAACTAACTTTATTTAGTATTTGCCTAAAAGCAGTAGCTGTCGTAAATGAAAATATCAATGCCATCTTGTGTAGCATATTTACTCTGCCAGTTGCCCATGCAGTCGGCGCCCGCGCGGCTCACAGTTGTGACACAGTATTTATTCTGAATTGCCGATCTAGTAATATACAGAGAACTCTTTGCTTTGCCATGCCATCTACAGGACTAACATAATAAAAGTATGCTTACAGCTTACATAAGTCCTAAAGCTGGTCACATGCCTCCTCCCCTTTTCTTAGAGTATTTCCGGATCGTATATTTTACCGCTCTGTTCTGATGCGTGTTCTCAGACTTCTCATGTCTTTGTTTTACTCTTCAGACATGCAGGTTTCCTCACGATGTTTTCCTTTTCCGCCGAACACGTGATAAATTAGTGCAGTACAAATACGGACCTGTGATTTTTAATATGATTGGTGTATTTTTTTAACCGTGAAAGGAAAATAGAAGATCTCCCGCCGGGCAAGTTGTTCGGCTCGGGGAGCAGCCAACCCTCCATGTACAGAGCTATTCTATATATACCGCAGTCCTTCTGAACTTCTATAGCGCGATTTAGGCTTCGGTGCGTTTAGATTGTGGCGTTATGACATCGCCGTCACATACACACGGTATGTTTGTGACTGACACGATATGTTGTTGCAGAGAAACGCAAGGAGCCGCCCGATTCCTTAGAAGCGAAGCCGTCGTCCTCGGCGGCGCCGGACCTGCCCGCCAAGCCGCCCGCCAATAAGCGTTCACGCAGATAGTAAGTGCTTTGTACACTCACATATACACACACCTAACAAGCGAACTTCTCAACTACACCCTTCACATTTTTTCAAGAATAAAGGTGACAAACGAGCACAAAGTTCACCTGATAGTAAGTGGATGTTGTGGTCCACAGACATCTGTATTGATCGTCGATCAAGAAACTAAATGCATAGGCGTTGTCACCCCTGAGGACTAAGATGGAATGTCTTGTTTCCAATAAAAAGTTTCTGTTATATAATATATAAGTCTAACATATTATAGACAGTTATTTTGTTTTCAGCTGTTAGTTAATTACGTCTTACTTTTTCTGTTTTCACTAGTTCTGTTCCACGTAGCAGGGATGGTTAACCTTTGCCAAGGATCAGAAAACATTTCGTTATATATTTTTTTAAATATTATTGTTTTCAGTCGAAAAAACCTTATTTTGCAACTTAGTGGATTTCAATTATTAACATCAAACAAAAAATATATAACATTTCATTGTAAGTTATTGTGTGGGATGTATAAAATACAAAATCAAAACAGATTTTTTTAATATACTACTAATTTAGCGCATGGCTTTGAAAAGGTTTTCCATCCTTGCCATAGAGTAAGTCTTAGTAATCGTTTAAAAGTAGACCACATAAACTCAGTTTCATTTAATTGAGAAGATTTAAACATCTATGATACTTTGTCTACTGCCTAATACTACTGCCCCTAAATAATCCAATGGAATTTCAACAAAATGATGACGAGCTGCCAAAGTTACAAAACACAGTAGTACAAAAGCAAAAAAGAAAAACATAAGGATGCAAACAAAGAAAATTCCAATGGCAGAAATAAAACCAGCGAAATAATGTCTTCCTGTTGAGCACTAATAAATCTAAACCACATATGTACACTCGCTGTATTCTACAAAGACGAAACATGTTTCTGATTTTTTTTAATAATGTGTTTAAAATTAAAAACTCAGAACCAAATCTCATACTTTTGAATTTTTTTATCATATTGGTAATATTTATTTGTATTGGCAACACAAGTTTGTTGTTGTAATGTTTATGTTTTTATTTTAGTGTACGGTCATGAGAGTTGAATTTTTATAGTATGACTTAATATGGTAAACTATGGTTTTAACATGGTTTAAATGGATAACCGTGTATTGTAACCTGGCGGTGTAAGAATATTCACTCTCCCATATCGCCCCGTGGGAGTATTTAGAGGCGACAGAGAGAGAGAGAGAGAAACTGTAACAGGATTCATACGTGGTAGAGCCATGCTGCAGTTATACTAGTAATATAATTGTAGCACGAATGGGTCGGCTCGACCGGGGAAGGACCACGCTCTCACAGAACACCAGCGTGAAATAGTAACATAATGCTGCTGTGTTTCGTATAGTGAGTGTAGAGAACCGGAGACCCTTTTTACTGGAAACGAGGCATTCTATCTTAGTCCTCACGGGTGACAACGCATCAGCATTTTGATTTGTAATCGAGGATAGATGTAGATGGAATTTCTGTCAGCCATCTCTTCCATCTCTGCACAGGGAGGACGACTCACTGGCCCATACCGCAAAGGGGAAAACCGATCTGCTAGGCTCTTTCTTTGCGTCCAACTCGACTCTTGATGACGAGGGGAGTGCGCCGCCGACCATCCCGCGGTGTGAGTGCTCCATGCCGGAAGTGCAGTTCACACAGCAATCGGTTCACAAAGCACTCCTCTCCCTGGACATCCACAAGTCGAGTGGGCCTGACGGAATCCCCCCAATTGTGCTGAGGACGTGTGCTCCAGAGTTGGCACCGGTTTTAACGCGTCTTTTCCGGTGCTCCTACTCCCTAGGCGTAGTCCCAAAATCATGGAAGACGGCTTTCGTCCACCCGATCCCTAAAAAAGGCGACCGCTCAGACCCGTCCAACTACCGGCCTATCGTCATCACCTCCTTGTTCTCCAAAACAATGGAGTCCATTGTTAACTGCCAGCTCATGAGGTACCTTGAGGATCACCAGCTGATTAGTGATCGCCAATACGGTTTTCGCCGTGGTCGGTCAGCTAGTGATCTTCTAGTCTACCTAACTCACAGATGGGCGGAGGCAGTAGAGTCCAAGGGGGAGGCATTGGCCGTTAGTTTGGACATTGCGAAGGCCTTCGATCGGGTTTGGCACAAAGCGCTCCTTTCGAAGCTCCCTTCCTATGGGCTTCCCGAGAAATTGTGCGATTGGATCACCAGCTTTCTTGCAGATCAGAGCATCAAGGTCGTTGTAGACGGTGCAAGCTCCGATTGCAAGCCTATTAATGCTGGTGTTCCACAAGGCTGCGTGCTATCGCCAACGCTGTTTCTTCTGCATATCAATGATATGTTGCAAACCCGTAACATTCATTGCTATGCGGATGACAGCACTGGTGATGCTCTTTACACCGGCCGAGCCAATATTTCTCGGGAAAACGTCTCCGAGTGCCGGGACAAACTTGTGTCTGAAGTCGAGTCTTTGCTGAACAGAGTCTCGGATTGGGGGCGACTAAATCTAGTCCAGTTTAACCCCCAGAAGACACAAGTTTGCGCGTTAACCGCTAAAAAGAACCCCTTTGTCGTATCTCCTCAGTTTCAAGGCACCCCCCTTGTTGCCTCAGCCAGTATCGGAATCTTCGGCGTCGACATATCGAGTGACGTGCAGTTTCGCGGTCACTTGGAAGAGAAGGCCAAATCGGCTTCTAAAAAGCTTGGCGTGCTCAGCAGAGCGGGACAGTATTTCATGCCGGCACACCGCCTGCAACTTTACAAAGCGCAGGTTCGGCCGCACATGGAATACTGTTCCCATCTCTGGGCTGGGGCTCCCCAGTACCAGCTCCTTCCACTTGACCGCATCCAGCGCAGAGTGGCTCGAATCGTCGACGACCGAGTGCTTTCCGATCGGCTCGATTCACTGGCGCTGCGATGAGATGTTGCATCTCTTTGCAATTTTCTTTCGCGTATACCATGAGGAGTGCGCTGAGGAATTGTTCGGATTAATCCCAGCCGCCAAATTTCGTGAACGCGCTACGCGGCAAACGTCACGATACCATCCACACCATCTGGATGCTTGGCGGTCCACCACTGTACGTTTCAAAAGGAGTTTTCTTCCGCCTATAACCTCTGGAATACCATTTACCACCGGCGATTTTTCCCGGACCGATATGACCTGGGGACCTTCAAGAAAAGAGCTTACTCCTTTCTAAAGGGCCAGCAACGCACCTGCAATTCCCCTGGTTGCGGTTGATCATGGACGGCGGTAGTCACTTAACATCAGGTGAGCCGCTTGCATGTTTACCCCCTCTTCTATAAAAAAAGTCTGGGCCACAGCAACCACTTACGATCTGGTGGACTGTGTGCTCTTTTGTCACCCTATCCCATTAAAAAAAAGGAGATGGGCAGCAGCATCTTCCTGATGACAACTCAAAGTAATAAAAAACTTCGGTTGGCAACCCGTCTACCAAGCGTGGCTATTCTTGAAAAATTCCCCTATAAGGAAACTTATAGGAAATAATGGATTAACCATCCATTATTTCCTATAAGTTTCCTTATAGGAAGGTCATAGATTATAAGTCAAAACTCATGATCGGTACATTTTTGAGTTCATTATGGTGTTAAAATATTCACTATTGTACCACTCGTTTTGAATGTGTAGTATTCATTAAACTCTTGCTTGTCATATTTTATTTTTATCTGTGATATTGAATATAAAATACATCAGAGCGAGTGCTATGATATGGACCCGTAGTGCCTCCTCCTCTCACGCGTTACCAACAACTCCTACGTGTAAACATAAAACGGTTAATGAAAATCCATAACATTAATTTTTATTTTAAGACGAAACCTTAGCTAAGTAAAATATTCTAATCCGTAGACAAAATTCAATTATAAAACTAAAGTACGGTGGTCGAGGTATATCGGCTGTGAAATTCCAAATGTTTTGTTGAAATGTTTTTCGTAAGACCTGATATAATAATAGTATAATTCTTTCGTCTCAGCTTTTATAGCAGCTGATTAGTTTACATTAGATAAATATAAGAAAGGCTAGACGGTAGTAAAATAGTTTGATATATGATTTTAGTGAAATTACTCGCAACCAACAGCAACCAACCAACACATCCTTGAGTTGCTTAGTCCCAGGATGGACATGTGCTTTTTAAGACAACAGTGTCCAGTTAGGGCTCTTGCCAGAATGCGCATTTTTTTTACTTAATCCCAGGGCTTCTGAAGCGAATTTACGATCAACAGCCCGGATTAAGGTTTTAAAATGTTTTAAGCCTGGTGTGTCAGACCAGATCATGAGTGATTTATTGTGATAAAGTTTCAAGGGTCAATCGGGCTAGGCTTCTTGAGATTCCACAAAATGACTCAGGTCCAAATTGTGCATTTTGAGCCCTCCCGTGCAAATTTGTCGGCAAATTCGTTGCCTACAATACCCTCGTGACCCCGGAACCAATCTTAAAACGACCCTGTTGTTACAACCCAGGGCGTTTAAACGGTTCACGCAGTCTCCAACTAGCTTCGAGTTCACTAAGCTTGACCTCAGCGCTAGCAGTGCTGCTTGACTATCAGAGTTTATGTAAATTATATGGTTGACGTAGTGTTTTTGCAGATTGATTTCCGCACACCGAAATATGGCGAAAATTTCTGCCTGGAAAATAGAGGTGTATCTACTCAAATTCATACTAAGTTTGAATTTGGGGCGCTCCCCGTAAATTCCAAAGCCTACGTCGAGGCCCATTTTAGACCCATCAGTATACCATATGAGACTACCGACCTCACAGATATATTTATACGTGGTAGAGCCATGCTGCAGTTATATTAGATGTATAGTTGTAGCACGAATGGGTCGGCTCGACCGGGGAAGGACCACGCTCTCATAGAATACCAGCGTGAAATAGTAGCTTAATGCTGCTGTGTTTCGTATGGTGAGTGTGGAGAGCCGGAGACCATTTTTGCTGGAAGCGAGGCATTCCATCTTGGTTCTCACGGGTGACAACGCATCTGCATTTTGATTCGTAATTGAGGATGGATGTGGATGTCTATGGGCCACAGCAACCACTTACCATCAGGTGGGCTGTGTGCTCGTTTGTCACCCTATCCTATAAAAAAAAAAAGATAACCCGGCCATTCAGCCAGTCTTTTCTGGAGGGTAATTCCACTATATACTTTTTATCAAAAGTGTGTAGTGGACGCATGATATCTGAGATCGTCCATAAGACCGGTGATTCCTTAATTGAGTCGAGCATGGATCTCAATCTGTAGGAGAGCAAGCTCAGACCGCCCTGGGCGTTAATCCTATACAAACTAGCCCTCGCCTCCTTGTCTAGATAGAGATCAAGGGGCGTTAGGCATAGAAGTGCATTAAAAGCCGCTCCAGGCGATGATGGCATAGCTCCAGTTGCTATTAAGCAGGCAGTCCTTTGTAGACTATTTAGTCTGTCCGCAGTCGTCTTTTGGTTGGCCTTGTTACACCAGACAATAGAGGCGTAGGTGAGAATCGGCCTCACTATGCTGCTGTACAGCCATAGGACCATACTGGGACGCAAGCCCCAGTTGTTCCCTACCAAACGACTGCACGTACCTAAAGCAATTTGTGCCTTATGACATACGTTGCTAAGGTGTGAGTTCCACGTTAGTTTTTGGTCGATTGTTACGCCCAAGTACTTAACTTCCGTGGAAAATGGTACTTCTTTACCATTAAGTTTTGGTTGGACTAATTTGTCCAACCGTCTCTTTTTGGTAAAGGGTATTATAACAGTTTTATCATTAACTGATAAACTGTTATCCCTACACCAGTTATTTATGGTGTTTAGGGTTCTTTGTATTATTGACGATAAAGTACTTTGGCAAAAGCCCCTCGCAATGATCAAAAGGTCATCAGCATAACCCAATGTGTCAATGCGTAGGTCTGCCATTTTGTACAATAGTTGGTCAACCGCAAGAGTCCAAAGAAGGGGTTACAAAACACCTTCTTGTGGGCAGCCTCTTGTAGTTGCAACCTCAATCGAAGTTTGAAACAGCGCTATTTTTGCCTTTCTGTTTGAGAGCATCGACTTCACCCATCTGATGGTTGTGGGGTCAACATTTTTAGATGTCAGGTCCCCAATCAGCAGTGATGTGGGGCTACTGTCGAAGGCGCCCTCAATATCTAGAAAGGCACAAAGAGCTATTTCTTTATCCTCCTGTGCTTTTTCGACCCTGTCAATGACACTGATCAGGGCTGTTTCCGTAGATTTGTCTCTGCAGTAAGCATGCTGGTTGTAATGTATGGGCCTCGTAGCTAGAGCTACATCCCTTATATATCTATCTATAACCTTTTCCAATGTCTTAAGGAGAAAGGAAGATAGGCTTATAGGTCTAAAGGACTTTGGTAAAGCGTAGTCCTTTCTACCAGCCTTAGTAGGTATAAATAGAACCTTGACAATTGTCAAGAGTTGCTCTGAAGAGTTTCATCAGATAAGGAAGAAGGATGTCGATACCCCTCTGTAGTTGGATGGGAATTATTCCATCCTCCCCGCTTGATTTAAACGGTTTAAAGGAGTCAGCAGCCCACTGCACCAGGTTTGGCCTTATTATCTTTGCAGCCCTACACTGGTCCTCATTGCAAGGCCTTCGTAGGGCTCTGAAAGAATTCAATGCTGAAGTCTTGTTTGACCCTGGGAAATGGGTTGACGCTAGTAACTCCAATGTCTCTGTTTCACTATTATTGAAGTTAATATCCAGCTTTTTAAGAAGCCCGATCTGATTGGGTTTAGCTTTCGATACCATTTTACGTACTCTTGCACTGCGAGACAAAGACTCAACTTCCTCGCATAGCTTCCTCCACGATGGTCTCTTGGCTTTCCTAATTTCTTTATTATATTCAGTTAGGGCTGTACTATAAATATCCCACTCTTTGGTTTTCTTAGCCCTATTAAATAGTTTCCTGGTCTTTTCCCTAAGTTTTTTTAGCTTAGAATTCCAACAAGGAACTTTTCGTGTTGAGTTCTTGATTTTGACGGGACAACTGTCCTCGAAGGCTTCACGGATACCTACGGTTACTGTCTTCGTCGCTAACTCCAGACCTTCAATTGTTTTTATCCTTTTAGGAAACGTTTCCAAATTCCTCCTTAGGCTATCTCTGTAGATATCCCAGGAGGTCGCTTTTGGATCCCTAAAAGTAACGGTTTCAAAGGTTGGTGATGCTCCAATCACAAACTTAATGTGCTTGTGATCAGACATCGAGTTTTCGCTACTAACATGCCAGTCATTTATCGGCATGGACATGTTTTTGGTAGCAAAGGTTATGTTTAACACTTCTTGCCTAGCACGCGTTACAAATAACTCACCTATTTCGTTGATGTTGGTGCTTCCCCAGGCTGTGTGGTGAACATTAGTATCACAACCCACCACAAGTTCGGCGTTGTGTTTTCGGATAATGATATGTTACCGAAGTGATTGTTGTAAGTTATATATTTCCATGTTTGTAAAGAAATGCTAGCATGTGAATACCACCTACATGTTAGAACTAAGTTATTTTACAAATTAAAGAAATTTAACGAGAGATATCTAAAACTTTACTGGATTAAACGGCGGAAGTACCGTCGTACTGTCTCTGCAGATTGGATAATGTCATGTGAAATGGATAATTTTGTGGTTTCGATCATTTAAATTAAACTACCTAAACTATTTCGATTCAAACATTCCTTGGTCTCGATCACGTGCGAATCGTTGGTCACGTTGCGGAGTTGGGATTTGGAGGGGGAGGAGATGAGGCGAAAGGGCGTGATAACAAGTAGCGAAGTGGTTGTGTGGCGCGCAGCTGTTCGTCGGCCGACGAGGAGGACGTGGACCCCGACACCAAGGCCGCGCGCGAGAGAGAGCGCCGCCAGGCCAACAACGTGCGGGAGAGGTGCGCCATACATACACATGCACACTCATACACATACATACACGTACAACATCCCTGTCATCATCATGTCCCAATATACCCCCTATTTTAAAAGGACAATAAAGCGCTTACCTGAGCTATTTGGTCGTTGCACTTCTTATTAATTCTGCTATTCTTCTTAATACCTCGTTTAGAAATGGGCATGTACTTAAAAGAACTTTATGAGGTTTGACAAATTAGAAAGACAGATCAAAATTGTGATTTATCATATATTTTGATGATTTCCTTTTTAATAATATTTTGTTTCATTCCTTTTATTGGGTATCTCATTTTCTTTGGTTATGTCTCTAAAACCTGTAGTTAAAACACACTTCAATGGTTCTTTTTTTTAATTTGCAATATGCTCTAATATTTCTCAACGTTGACATTGTCAGAGAATCATCAATTAAACGATAGAGCTTATTTTGCTTTTAAAATAAGTAGAAAAAATAATTTTATATCTTCCATCGAAAAACTTTGTCTTTAAAATTATTTCCTTCCCCTATAAACAGTCTGCTTCTTCAAATGAGCCTAATGTCAGAAGATTTTCCGCAATCATTACGCTTTGCAGACATGACAGATGGACAACTGCAGTACCAGACGTATTTGGTCTTTAACACTGTACCCCGTTAGTGGCCTCTTTCACATCTGGTAAATTCAAGGCTACAGTTTATTCCTATAACACCTACGACATACAGATATACCCGTACTTATAATCCACTTAATTTTGTTACTGCTATAGTAATTATCATCACTATATACATAATTATCATAAATTTTTACTGAAAGTCGAAATCCCTCCTCACCTCTCAAACAATCCCGTTAACAACTAATAGTAACACACCTAACTAATCATCACAAATTATTATCTTGATGTGCCTCTTTTGTAATCTTTAATAAACATATCTTATTTGAAGTGCTGTTCCATTTTTAATTTTAACTTTGTTTAATGGGGTATCGTTCTTACAAGTCACAAAGTCAAGTGGACTTGACTCGTGGTAAACACGTATCTTTATACGTGTCAAAGTGTGCGTGAGACCAAAAGCGGGTATGGTTAGCGACACTACGCTCACAACTGATCGCACCGTCAAGCTACGGCCACACCACCTTACCGTCTATCGCACATTAACCGCAATAATTATAGCATTAAATTACTGCCTAAATTACCGCCTGAAGTATTGTGGTTACACCAGAGTTTGCCTAGATATTACAAAAATTAGACGGAAAAGATATAATTTTTCAAGATTGAGGTTGAAGCTGCAGCTCTGTACTCATAAAGTACAACACAGCTGCAGCTTCATGACTATTTCACATTTTATGATGATGTGAAATGGTGGTGAGATGATGGATGATAAGAATGCGCAGACGTGCGCGCACGCAGAGAGTAATAGGTTAGTCTTTTTCCGTTAAGCTCATATCGCGTGCTGACCAAACTGTAGTGTTGCCACTTGACGCAAAAATTACCGCAGCAATAGTCTTTGATAGGAGAAAAACACCGCTACCGGTGACTATTGTCTACCGTCATATGCCATATTGGTTGACATTGTAAAACTATGGCCATTAATCGTGAATACACCTAGGTGTAGTTTCAATTATGGCTGTTGTGTAAGATACGCACATTATCGCAATGTACATGTACTCGTTCAACCACATGTAAAGCCCGCTCGGCTTCGTGATTGCAAGAACTAAACTTTCCTAAATCCTCTGATACAAGGGTTATTTCGTTGTATTCTCGTTAACGTTGTTTCTAAAACCTCACTCATCTAGTGTATCCTCTACTTCATCCTAAATGTTATTCAGATATCATGATCACAATGCACTAACAACCATGCATATTTAAGTTTCAGAGCTTGGATTATCACCACTAAATGCTAACAACAATTTGGGTCACAATGTATAACTGTTACTAATTGTGTATCGCGCGTCATTTTGTCTTCTTTCAAATTGTGTTTAGTCTTTATTCGATTTACATGTATTTTATTTGTACATTTTAGGATAAGGTAAGTTCTTCTCTAGTTTATTTTTGCTACAATATCAAAACTTAACTGTCAATAAAGAGAAATGTAAAATAATTACTCAACAAAATGATCAAAATCAATCCTTGCTATCTTCAACTTCTAATTGGTGATTTTTATTGGTCTTAAGAGGGAACTATAATAAATACTATATAGAATTTAATATTTTACTACGGGTATATACGTAGCAAGCTTAATAGATATTAAAGCTCAAAAACAACCTGCTCATTTCCATATTGAAATAAATTTCTTTTAATCACTGTCTTGTTTTCTATCACACTAATTTATTTTCGTTCACCGTACGGGAGATCATTGTTGACTGTACCATCACACGGATTTGCAAATTATCTCATAAAATTAACACCTTTCGATGCGTTCATTTGCTTCGATACTAACAATGAGGGGTTTAGATTTATTTTTTCTTGCTTAATATATACCTATATAGGAGGTCGGCTGTCTCTCTCTCGCGCGCTGCCTTCGCTGTCGAGGTAAGTCTTTTCTAATTTAATGTAAAGCGTGGCAGTACTTTGAATATTTATTTAATAGGCCATTATTTCGTTTTGATGCGGTCCTAAAAACTTCCATCCAGTTAAATATATTGTTATCATATAAAATAATCTAACAACCTTATATTTATACAAAAACAAATGTTTTTCAAAATTTTGTTGTTCGAGTAATTGTATCCAAAGGATTAATCTTATTTGGAGAATTGTAATTTGATATAAGATTAAAATTACTTTAGAAAACATCATTATTGAAATTTATGATTCTAAAACCGAAAATTTAATAACGTACTTAAAAAAAAGGCTAAAACAGTCTAAAGATGGCATTTGACGATAGTTGCTCGTCGGCGGATGAGGGGGACGATGAAACGGACCCCCAGGCGAAAGCTCTAAGAGAGAAAGAAAGGCGGCAAGCTAACAACGCACGAGAAAGGTGAGTGGGCGAACGCAGTTTCCAAAACTTGCCCGTTTTATGCAAAATTGTAGAAACTTACGTAAAATTAGACTGATTATTATAAGTATAAAAAATTATTTTTAGCAAATCTATGACCCAAATTGTTGTATGCTTTTGGTTTATTGACTTACGTGTTAATTTTTATTTAAGTGCTTTTACGATCATAAAAAGTTAACGAAAGCTAATTTTTATTCGTATTCTTTCTGTCTGTAGTTTTTGCAGTGATATATATCAATCGTAACTACATTTTTAGGTTAACACCATAAAATTTTACAAAACATTGTTTATATTGAAAGTGATATTACTGAATAATTATCCTTTATTTTCCAAGTGGATGTAAGCGATCCGAAATTATGATTAAATAATTTAAGGGAAAAGCGTTCATGCAATCAAATGTTTTACATAATATCATCAACTCATTTTAAACAGGTTTATTGGTTTTTACTCATTCCGATCGGTAAATTTATACTAAATTTATATTTATTTACTTCACTCAATACTTTGAGTAGAAATTTAATATGTATATACTTAATTCGCTCATGTCCACCTTGGTAAACAGTCATAATAATTTATAATGTGAAGAAGTAAGTCACAGAAAATAATATATTTACTGAAATTACAGGATAAGGATAAGAGACATAAATGAAGCGTTAAAAGAATTAGGTAGGATGTGTATGACGCATCTGAAGAGCGACAAGCCACAAACGAAGCTCGGTATCTTAAATATGGCTGTAGAGGTCATCATGACTCTAGAACAGCAAGTCCGAGGTAAGTTAATAAAATTATACATGTTTGAATATTCGTCTGACTTTGCCAGTTGGTGTCATTAATGCTACAGGCAAATTTCATCTATTTATATTTTCAAATGTTATCTATCTAAATCTACCAGATTTTCAATTAAGAATCTAATCGAATCGAATCGAATCTTCAGTTTTGCGTTAAGAATTTATTAGAGTAATTGAATTAAAAAAAGGAAATGTCAAACACAAATGTATTAAATATTTAAAATAAATTTTGCCTATAGGCCTCAAAAACGCTTCAACGAATTTTCATGTGGTACTGTATTTTCAGTATCATGCACAATTTTGTTTGAATTCCATTTAACTACAGTTAAATTTACTTTAATATTTCATACGCACAACAACAATAAACAACACATTAAACAGTATGTAACAGTAACGGCTATAAACTAATATTAATTAAAGAATATTAAATCGTCTTATGTACTTGCCGAATAGACCTAGAGCTAAGAATTAGGGAAGGCACTGTTTCCTGAGATACAGGTGATAACCTAGTTCAGGAGACAGAGCTCCTTTGTATTTAGACATATTTGGTTGCTAATAAACGTTATTTATTATTATTATTGGGGTATCTATATAATTTTCTCATCTGGTTGGGTTCTATATATATATATATATATATATATATATATATATATATATATATATATATATATATATATAATTTTAAGTTAAAATAAAAAGATAAATATACATAAATATCAATAAAATAAAATAAATACATAAATAAATAAGATCCAACCAGATGGAAGCCCTCGGCAGAGGAGACCAAACGGCCGAGGGTTAAGAGGAAAGGGAAAGAAACCGGCGGACGATGCGGGCGGTATCGAGGAGCACCGCCTTCTGCATTTGAGCTCGGAGCGGTCCGTCACGGAGTCCCAGTCGCCTCAGATGAACCAAGAGGCTGACTGGGATTAGCCCATTCGCAGAGACAACTACAGGAATAATTTCGGCCGCAGACCACCCCACATGTCGGTTACCTCGTGAGCCAGGTCCAGATATTTTGTTCGTTTATCTGTTTCGGCTTTCACGAGGTTCTCGTCATACGGAATGGTAATGTCGATCAAAAATATCCTTGACTATGCCCGGTCCATCAGCACAATATCAGGCTTATTCGCAAGAATAGTCCTGTCTGTGATGATGGCCCGGTCCCAGTAGAGCCTGGCGCGTTCATTTTCGAGCACGGCTTCCGACAAGTACTTGTAATACGGCACATTTCAGTATAGAGCGAGCTTCTGGTGTAAAATTATATTATTATTATTGGGGTATCTATATAATTTTCTCACCTGTTTGGGTTCTATAAATATATAATTATAAATTAAAATGAAAAGATAAATATACATAAATATCAATAAAATAAAATGAACACAAAAACTACATAAATAAATAAGATCCAACCAGATGGGAGCCCTCGGCAGGGGAGACCAAACGGCCGAGGGTTAGGGGGAAAGGGAAAGTAATTATTATTATTATTATTATTATTGTGGGTTTTTTGTAAAGTTTCGCTTTTGTTTAAATTGTGAGGTGGCGACGTACTATCGCTGTCGTATCCAAAATTACGGCTTTTTGAATTTTTATTATTGTGGGGTATCTATATAGTTTTCTCATCTGGTTGGGTTCTATAAATATATAATTATAAATGAGAATGAAAAGATAAATATACATAAATATCAATAACATAAAATAAATATAAAAATACTTAAATAAATAAAAGCCCAACCAGATGGAGGCCCTCGGCAGGGGAGACCAAACGGCCGAGGGTTAGGGGGAAAGAGAAAGAAACCGGCGGACGATGCGGGCGGTATCGAGGAGCACCGCCTTCTGCATTTGAGCCCGGAGCGGTCCGCCACGTAGTCCCAGTCGCCTCAGATGACCCGAGAGGCTGACTGGGATTAGCCCGTTTGCAGAGACGACTACAGGAATAATTTCGGTCGGCAGACCACCCCACATGTCGGTCACCTCGTGAGCCAGGTCCAGATATTTTGTTTGCTTGTCTGTTTCGGCTTTCACGAGGTTCTCGTCATACGGAATGGTAATGTCGACCAAAAATATCCTTGACTGTGCCTGGTCCATCAGCACAATATCAGGCTTATTCGCAAGAATAGTCCTGTCTGTGATGATGGCCCGGTCCCAGTAGAGCCTGGCGCGGTCATTTTCGAGCACGGCTTCCGGCAAGTACTTGTAATACGGCAATTTCCGGTCCACGAGACCGTATTTCAGAGCGAGCTCCTGGTGTAGAATTCTGGCTACTAGGTTGTGCCTGTGCAAGTACTCAGAGTTAGAAAGCGCCGAACAACCGGAGATGACATGCCTAAGTGATTCACCGGGATGGCGACAAGCTCGACAGATGTCGACGGTGCCATCCTTTAGGATGTATCTCCGATAGTTGTTGGTCTTAATAACCTGATCCTGTATTGCACAGACAAAACCCTCGGTTTCCCCGAAGAGGTCACCGAAACGTAGCCAGTTGAGGGAGGCGACTGTATCTACGAAGGGCTCATGAAGAGCCCTGTAGTACCTCCCGTGGAGCTCCTTCTCCTTCCATACGGTCTCCCGGTCGGAAATGCTAAGCACTGCTGGGTCCTGCCATTGCTCGTGGGCTAAGGATAGAGGGGTAAACCCTTTATCACTAGAAATGACGTCATTATAGAATGGATCATCCGATCTCGCCAGGAAGTAATCACGGAGGCTGCACACTTCGCGATTATGCATGGTGAGCGCGCTCAGAAAACCACGCCCACCATGCTTTCGCGGCAAGTACAGCCTCATTACCGACGATCTCGGATGATGCATCCTATGGGACGTCATGGTAGTGCGGACTTTTCTATCCAGGGCGTTAATTTCAGTCTGAGTCCACCTGAGTATGCCAAAGTTATATATGAGGACAGGCATGACCCAACCGTTGTATGCGTGTGTCTTATTCACACCGGACAAAAGGCTGTTAAGCACTTTGGTCAAGCGTGCATAAAACACGTCGCAAACTGACTGTTTCATACCAGCCTCATCGATACCGATGTTCTGTGACATACCCAGGTATCGGTATGTTTCAGCCTCGGAAAGGGTCTTTAAGTTGACGGGCATAGATAAATCTATGCCCTCAGAGTTAGCAACCCTTCCCCTTTCAACATGAAGGACCGCACACTTATCCGTCCCCAGCTACATTCCAATGGAATTGCTAAATTCACAAGTGATGTTTAGCAATTCCATAAGATGGGAGCGACTGGAGGCGAATAACTTGAGGTCATCCATATAGAAAAGGTGGGTCACTTTTGTTCCTCCTTTCCGTAGCTGAAATCCTCTCCCGGAGCCCTCCAGTAAGGTACTGAGAGGGTTCAGAGAGAGGCAGAACCAGATTGGACTCAGACAATCGCCCTGGAAGATACCCCTTCTTATCCTTATGTGGTTCTCCGCAGCCATCATCCGCTCGCCCTGATAACAGAGGATCGTACTCCACTGCCCCATACACTGCTCGAGGAAGTCTCTAACTGTACAGTCAATCTTGTACAGCTCGAGGACCCTCTTTAGCCATGCATGGGGCACCGAGTCGAATGCTTTTCTGTAGTCTATCCAGGCGGCGGAGAAGTTCCGACGGTTGCGTTTCACCACTTTGCCAATGACCGCGTCAATGAGGAGTGGTTCCTTGGTTCCACGACCACCACCCCGACGTCCATTTTGAGCGCGTGACATCACCTGATTTAGCTCCAGGTGACGAGTGATTCTCGCGCTCAAAATGGATGTCAGTGTCTTATATATAGTGGGTAGACACGTGATGGGGCGGTATTTGCTAGGGCGGGTTTCTTTAGGAACCAAGTGAGTGATCCCAGTAGTGAAGAGGCTCGGGAGCGACTTCTGATCGAGAGCCTCTTGATACTGTCGGGCGAGCACAGCGTGACACACTACGAACCCCTTCAGCCAGTAATGATGCAGCCCGTCGAGCCCCGGACTTTTCCAGTTCGGGGCCCTACGGACCGCCTCAGCCACGTCTTCAGGCGTTATGGTGACGGGGTCCATAGGCGTAACACTTGCACTCTGGCTCGCCACAACTTCCGGTCCTGGGCCCGCTCCACATACCTCTGATCGCTCCAATGATTTATAGAGCCTCTTCTGATCACTCTGGAAGAGACGATTTTGGTTGAACCGCCTTGACCTCTCGCTAAATCGTCGAATCCGCTTCCCCCAAGCAGCGATTTTTTGCTTCAGGTCATCTATGCGCTCCGTTAGTTTCTGCGTGATATCCGGCTGGGACAAACTAATATTTGTCCCAGCAAACGCCATTCTAACGGTGCGCACAACTCTCGGTCTAATATTACCCGACCTGAAGCTTGTCAGTCTGCCGATAAGGGCCCTTGCCTTTGCGATACGGTCCTCGATTCTTTTTCTCCAGGCTGGGATGGCACTACCTTGTTGAGTAGCACGTCCAGCCATGGGAAGTTTGGCGCCAATAATACGGCATACTGCCGTATTATTGGCGCCATTTCGCCATTCGTTTATTATTATTATTATTATTATTTCAATCACTTCTTGCATTTTTTTAACTTTAACATGTTTAATTCATTAATCATTTTTGAAATACTCTTCAACTTAATACAAAAATTGTGTCGTAAACAAATTTTCTCGTCTCGTTTGTAGAACGTAACCTAAATCCAAAAGCGGCGTGCTTAAAGCGACGCGAGGAAGAGAAAGCTGAAGAGGCGCCCAAATTACTAGCGGCGCCGTTACAACATTACCAGCCTATGCCGGTAAGTATTTTTGTTACAGTTATTATCGTTTTATCATACATATAACGTTGCGAATATTTGAAAGAAAGTACAGTTTATGATCGTGAGGAGACGGCGTTTATTGCTTTTTGTCATTCTCGATTATATCTAAACCTACCCTCAGGTGGCAAGTGGATCAAGCTCTAGCTTATTGTAATTAAAAAGACAGCGAAAGTATAGAGAAGTTAGAAGATATTATATATATCAGCAGTACTTCAAACATGATGGGAGATTAGCTTGATAAAGATTTGCAACTGAGTACCTGTTAATTTGGATATTTGACATATTTTTTAGACGGAACTTAAGTTCTTTATAGAATAAGGGTAACAAATAAGCATAAAGTCCACCTGATGGTAAGTGGATACTGTGGCCCATAGACATCTACATTCATCCTCTATTAAGATTCAAAATGCAGATGCGTTGCGGTGTCACCCCTGAGGATTAAGATGGAATGTTCCAGTAAAAAGGGTCTCCGATTCGCTACACTCACCATACAAAACACAGCAGCCTTACGCTGGTATTCTGTGAGATCGTGGCCCTGCCTCGGTCGAGTCGACCCATTCGTACTACAACCATAATATAGTTGTAGCGTGGCTCTACTACAAGTTACTTTTAACACAGTTTTATAATGGGTGCGTTTGGCAGAAAAAAGCGCTAGCAAGCGCTTGTAAGCAAAACGGCGATCGTAAGCGGTAAGCGCTGTCAAATCGTAAACAGCTATTTTCCTCCAGGACACGATGTTAGTTTTAACCGGGGGAACTTAACCTAATTTAAACATATGTTTGTAAAGTATTCATATTAAAAACTTACCAATCATGAATTTTTAATAACATGTATATGTTTATTCAGTCATTATATTACTTAAAACTAAAATATTGCACAAAACAACTTATAAACTCTACTTCAAAACAAACAAATTAAATAAGCAAAATGGCGGATTATGTCAGCGCTACTGAAGTAGCAATCGTGTCCTGGCCGAAAACTATTTCAGCGCTTGTAAGCGCTTGCTAGCGCTTTTTTCTGCCAAACGCACCCAATGGAACGTTTATATTATCGGACATACAACTCGCAGAGTTATTCGTAGACGAGTGCGACGCGTTTACATATCCTTCTGTATTCATTCAACGTTGATTTTTTAAACATGAATGACGTACGTCTCGTTGCTACGATATTGTCTACTTCACTTTTATAATATTTTAAATTAATAAAATGACGGCAGTAGTTAAAATAGTGAGTATTATAGAGAATATATAAAAGTAGTTTCGCTCTTGTGAAATTCTTATATTTTTATATATTTTGTCAAAGAAACGTACTAAAGACAATTATAACGGTAGACTGACCGAGTAATTTGTAATGATAGTTCACGAGTCACCTGAATAATGATGAGTATGAAAACACCGATACGAATACACACGAACATTCCTTTGACTTGTGCACAAAAACCAACATCGAGTGAAGAACAGGCGAGTACTCGGGACGAGTAGCGAGCACACCCGAACAAGACGTTAACATATTCATACTCTTGCCGATTCGTCTGTACTCGCCGAGTATCTAAACCTTCCATTAGATTTTCTATTGTACGGCCGCAATGGAATTTTAAATTCAGGTTTCACCAACTTCTTTCTGAATTTATAATCTAAAATTTTGTTTGCGTTATCACTAAGATCATCATAGCGTATGATCAGTACGTGATGTTTTTAACCGACTCCAAAATAAAGAGGAGGTACTCAATTCGACTGTATTCTATGTGTGTTATCTCGGAACTTTTTTCTATGTGAACCGATTTTGATGACTCTTTTTTTACGTCAATCACCTCAATACCCCTTGACCATGGGTGCAGGAAAGCACCCGGAAAGTCGGGTATTAAAATTAAGCTAATTAAAAACCATAAAATCCGTAAAAGTAGTTTTATTCGACTCTTTTTTATTTGAAAGCTCATGGCTCTCATGTGGTCCCATATAAATTTGATCAAGATCTGACCAGTAGTCTTTGAGTTATCTTTAATAATGCGTATTTTAATTGATTTTGACTACATTGATGATGTTCACATTTTATTTATATTAAGGTCGGTTGTACAAAATTATTAATTTTACCGCTTTTTAATTAAATAAATTTCACAATGTTGGAATGATATGTACAGTTGTTTTAATTTCAGGGCTTGGGACAGCTGGGTGGTCAGCCGCCTACGGGAGGACCGCCGCAGCAATAGCGACGCCTCGCTCGGCTCTGCGCACTGCCCCCCACTCACTGACCGCCTTGCAAATAAACTGTCACTCCCCCATTCATGGGAGGGGACGTGAATCCACCCCGCGCCAATAGCCTTCACATCAGAAAACTGGGAAAACAAACGCCTTTCTACGGTCAAATGTTGCCAGTCACAGCACGTGTTTGATTTACTTTACATCATTTATAATTGATACTTTTAAATCAAAATTTCGATATTTTCCATTTGTATTTAAAGCTAATATGGCATCTCTGTAATAAGTACTTTAGTATGTGTAATTAACTTACATAGATGTTTCAGATTTTGTCCTTAATGTAAATATTTATCCACTATTTTCTCATTTCAAATTTATATCTTTTATTTTTGTATCATTTATTTAAACTTTCACAAGTTACTCATACTAAAGTTACTTTAAGTTTAAATTAAGACGCAAAGGAAACTACATTTCATTATTGTAAATCTGACACGTGATTGACAAAATGGTTGGCGGTTGTCTTTGTAAGAAATGGCGTGTCTTTAACTATAAATTTTATTCTCCCAGAGAATGTTCTTTTGAAGTTAATTTTCCTTTTTTTTGTTAAGTTGTCCTCAGGTGCGTCTGTAATTGTGATGTTACTGAAATTTTACGCGCGTCTGTAGTCCGTAATAATTGAACAATTTCGACATACGCAACACAATAGCGTCTCTAAGACTTTATTTTTATCTTTTCCAATTGATCAAGCAATCGTCCCAAAGAGTGTTAAAAAGCAGTGCGTAGTGACATCTTGGACTATATTAGCTGTAAGTGTGTATATTATTAGCTATAGGCTATAGTTTTATATATCTCGGCGACATTACGGATTCATGACGTAGAACGAGAAATGTCGCCCTGTTAAGGGGCGAAACAGAATCCAAAATTTGTAAATTACTAGCCTAGATCTACACTTTATGTATAGGTATTATAGATTAATTGATAAATCTATCAGAAAAGATATTTTTAATTACTATTTTAAAGTTTCGTTTCGCTGCCATAAGCATAGTACGTAAGCATCGTCTGAGGTCCATTTTCGGGTAATCTGTAATTTTTTCAATGGTAACACCGCTCGTTGTCCTGTCAAACACTGATTTCCTTATACATAAATTTTTGTTTCTTCACTACCACTTGCAAAACTTGACAATAATACCTCGTTAATGGACTTCTGATGTTAATAAAAGAAGTTTATATTAGAATTTTTGGAAAAACGGACGCGTTGTGTCGAGTGTTACCAACTGTGAATTCGTCGTCGCAATTTCCGTATTCAAACCACTGACTGAAAAGCGTGATATTTTTTTGTATTTATTAGTATGGGAGACATTTTTTTTTTAAATTAAGTTGGTAAGATCGTAATAACTTTCGATATGCTTTAGGCGAATTAGCGTCAGATAGAGATAGCATAATAAAACAATTATTGTTATTCTGCCTAGACGGACAGAAATCAAAGTTAAAGGAAGCTTTCCAGTGGAACTTTTAAATTGAAACAGACAGTGGATTGAAGACTGAAATGGCGCGTGCGACTTTGTCAGTACAATTGTAGCGAGCGCGGGCACGTGGTGCGAATCGATTGGGATGTTTTGCTTTTTATAAATGTGTGGGCTCGTCACGAGCGTGCCACTTACAGTGGTCTGCCATATTATTTATAAATTACATGCATTTATAGAAAACATTGGTTCAAATCGGAGTAAATATGGCTGCTAACTTAAAATGTACTTAAGGGATATTATTTTTATGTTCTCTTTGTACCAAAACTCCAGTGAAACTCTATTGGTTTGACAATTAGCATAAATGCCTTGTCTACGCATGGTCGTAGTATTATTTTTATACACAATTTTTATTTTTTATTTGTGGTAGCTATTTGTTATAGAGAATTTGTTTTTTTCTTTTAATAAAGTACTTATATACAATTACTGTGATTGCAAACCACATAATTTACTATATGAAAACTTTAAATGTAGGGAAGCACAAACTCCGTCAGTTATTCTTCTGCTGAATGAGTAATATTCCTAGAGCGTGATTTTAAATGTATTATTTATTTTTATATAGTAAATTTTGTTGTGACAATATTAAATCGACAAAATCAATTTTTTATGCAATGTTATTTTATTTCCCCTCAAAATGTTACGACAGCTGAAATTATTTTTTTTACACATATTAACTTTCTATTTCTACATTTTTGGTGCATCTAAGAGATTATCATGACAAAAATTATACCCTAATTTGATTATTTTAATAGTTTTGAGGTTTGTCGAAATAGTGTGATAAAGAAGTAACGTTACCATACGTAAAGACTTCCCTAAATATGAAGTAATTTAACGAATAAAATTACAAGTGTTCGGGTGCATTTTGGCGTGTATTATTTCATATATGGGATTTTACGGGAATTTCTGGGAATTTACGTGAGGTGACGGAATTTCTTTGTTTTATTTTGTGTTTTTAAACATATCGCGAATGTCAAAAGACAACTTTGTTTTTTTTCTTCAGACTTTAAAATTTGCACTTTCGGTGAGTTTCTCGAATTTATCTATGTAGTGAATAAATAATTTGGATTTTTTATGGTAATATGCATACAAATAATGGTCGTTTCTTGTACATATTTGTCGATATTTTATTAAAGCTCAATACATTGGTTATTTAGTACAAGCCAATAATGTTTTTTTTTTTTAAATTAAATTAAATTATTAATTTCTCTGCTTTAATACATGACAGTGCTTTAGTGAGTTTACGGTGGAGATGAGATTTTTTTATAAATCTATAAGAAACAATTACAATGTGTACTAGATAAGTAATCGATTAGATTATGAGTAAAGTACAATATTGGTAGTTGTTTCGACATAATCTAGTTTGGTTCATAGCGAACTTTGTATTATATAGCGTAAGGTTGATTATTGACTGCGATGATTTTGTTATTGCTTCGCGATACATTTACAGTACGATTGAAGTACTTTCGCGGCAAAACTGCTGAGAATGGGAATGAAAAATTTAAATTCGGGATTGCACCAAAACGGGCAGCCGAGTCGGGCTCGGAAGACCCTGTCTTTATGTGTTACGTTATAAACTTGAAAATTTTCTTATTGAATAAAAGTTCAAAATATTTTTTTAGTATTCTATCGTAGTTTGTAGGTCACTTAATCATTACTTGCGACTCTTTAGTTTAGCTTAGTTGACTTTCTCTTCCATCTAGATTTAATTTAAGTTTTTTTTATTATTATAATAATTTGTTGTCTGTGCATACGGCGTAAACGTACTATAAGATGACAGTTAATTGGTACATAAAATCCATAATTTATTCGCAATATTGAAGCTCAGATTTTTAAGGCACCGAAGGTATTTTTTCTGTTCTGTTACATAAATCCTGGAGATTGTGTACAAAATGAGGCTTTTTTTGCAATTTATTTTGTTAATTTTTGTTTTTTTTTTCTATTAAGGCAACACCAGCGGCCAAGCACTGTATCATATAGCATTTGATATGTTTCTCATCTGTTCAAATGCATAGTTTAAAATGATATAATTACAAGAAAGCTCTAATTATAAAAATGAATAATATTAATTAAATATAAATGTGCCATTCATTTTGCTATTTATGTGTTTTATTTTCCCACTAGTTTACCGTTACCATTACCGTTACAGCCTTAAAGTCTACTGCTAAACATAGCATCCCCACAGATTGCGTCATGGGGAGCTATTTGCCACAGCTGCCACGCTCGGCGAGCGGGTTGTCAACCGCAGTTTTTTGTTTTCAGTCGTTGTTAGGTAGACGTAGTAGTAGACGTAGGCCAAACTCACCCACTAATTTAGCGTTACATAAAAAATTTGTACGTGAAGTCCACTACCCCATAAGATCCCGTGGGTGTCGTAAGAGGCGACAGAGGGAAACAAATCAGGAGATGGGCAGCAGCTTCTTAATAAAGAGTAAAAAAAACTGTGGTTGCCAACCCATTAGTCAGGCGTGGTAACTGAAAAATATCCCGCCTATGAGGCAATTTATGGTAGGTCTGTGTTCAACAATAGACTTTAATAGACTGTAACGGAAATCTATTCATATCCACCAACTACCTACTAGTTTCTACCAACTGTCAGTAAATTTAAAAAAATAATATTTTAGATCATAAAAATAAATAATTCCATAAAAATCAATTTGGTTTCAGAAGCGGTCGCTCGGCGACTGACGCAGGTGTCGAGCTTATGAAATATATTTTTATGCCTGGGACAGTTCACAAGATGCCTTAGGTGTTTTTGTGCTCTTTCCAAGGCTTTGGATTGTGTTTATCATGAGATATTAATCAAGAAACTACAACAGTATGGTGTCAAAAATATTGCGCTTAAACCTATTTCATATTTAAATAACAGAACTCAAAAAGTTTATCAATGGTAAAGGTTCCTCGGGATCAGTAGTATCAATGGGCGTTCCTCAGGGCTGGATTCTTGGCCTGTTCCTATTATTAGTCTATATTAATGGCACCTTATCTCGTAGGGGCAATCACGATATAGTATTCTTTGCTGATGATACCTTTAATTTTCAAACCGAAACTACATTCAAATAATTTTGACAATCTGAATAATCTCTATGGTAATTAGCACATTGGTTTATCACCAATAATTTGCTCTTAAATGGCAATAAGACAAAATGTATTAAAATGTTAAACATTCAAATACCAATATGCTCTTAAACGGGGAAGAGTTGAGTCTTATGGATACCACGGTTTTTCTTGGTATTATTGACGCAAAGTTTCAATGGGGTATTGGATGGTAGTAATGGGGCTTCAATATATCTAAATTAGCGGGCAGACAGTTTTGCAGCATATGCTGTAAGAAAGATTAGAAGTCTCACCTATGTTGAGACAGCTAGATTAGTTTATTTTAGTTACTTTCATAGCGTAATGTCTTATGGAATTTTGCTATAGGGAAATGCGACTGACATTGAATCAATATTTCTTTTGCAAAAGAGAGCCGTACGGGCGATTTATAACTT